AAGTGCTAACAAAATCGAAATAATTTCTTGTAAAAAGACCAAATTATTTAAAGTTACTGCTATTTTCCAAAGTATAAAGATGTGACCTTCCTCTCTTTTCCGATCCTCATACTTATTCTTGCTGGCAGGAAAGCAGAATTCTAAAATTCTGAATAAATCTATCTTAAAAGTTTCACTAGTGAAGTCTTTCAACAGAATATTGTGGATATTTACACCACAGACGGTGTGGATATTTACACCACATATTTAACACCACAATAGCTACATATACTTTACCTTCAAAAATAGCTGGATTTCTACTAGAAATCTTTGTAGCTGTAAACTCATAGAATCACCAAGGTTGGAAGACGCCTCTAAGATTATTCCACCTAGCACTACCACTGTAACCCCTAAACCTTAAACCATATCACCCAGTGCCAGATCCAGATGCCTCTTAAACACCTCCAGGGATGGTGACTCCACCACCTTCCTGGGCAACCTATTCCAGTGCCTGATCACCCTAACAAGGAATTATTTTTCTAACATCCAATCTGAATCTCCCCTGTCTCATCTTAAAGTCATTCCCTCTAGCCCTTTCACTGCAGGCATGGCAGAAGAGATCATCCCCCATCTCACTACAACCCCCTTTTGGGCAGTTGCAGAGAGCAATGATGTCACCACTAAGCCTCCTCTTCTCTAGACTAAACAAACCCAGCTCCCTTAGCCCACCAAACTTCAGAGTTTAGGATTAAATTTTGCAAGTAGTTTGCATTTATATAAAACTGGGAAGCATTAGGACTCAGCTCTTCCTGTAAGTTGGTCAGCCTTTATTTTTAGTTTTCAATTGTCAACAATTTTTTCCCCTTTGTAAAGGAAGTGTAAAGCAGTGCCAGGACTTGAGGCTGTATTTACAGGTCCAGTGTAATACAAACAGGACTAATAATGCTCTGCACATTCAGACACTTCAGCTCCTTCAGTTGGCAGGAACTCTGAGAAAAAGAGTAAATGCTAATGCTAGATTTAGTCACTGACATTGCCACAGTTTTGTTGATCTCATACTACCTGAAAAACTGCCTGAGAACTTGGCTCCTTGGGGAAGGTACAAGCCACTTTTCCAGATTAAACTTTTAATGCTACTTCCAGATCAACTCTTTGTGGAATCACTTCATGGTGTTCAAAAGCACTCCCTGTAAAAACAGCAACTAAATGCTTCCTTCACCAAAGTGCACAGGAACAGGGAAGGGGATTAATTTGGCCCTGCTAAATTAGAAAAATCATGTCATTTCACCTGAAGACCATAAAGAGTCTAACATAAGTCCTACCCATGCAAAGAAAATCAATTCATAGATTAAATATATCACCTGTGTTTTATCAACATCAGCCTATAGCAAATGTACTAATACCATGCTTGATCCCTATCCTGATCTATTGCTTGCAGAATAAACAACTGAAGAAACATTGTGTTTTGAAACTGCTAAATAAAGGAGAGGGAAATATGGTTAGCACAAAGCCAAACTTTAATGTTTAAACAGGAAATACTCTGTGGATGCTTTCAATAAAGCTACAGTGCAGCTTTGTAAAGTCAGCACTTCATGAAAGAGAACTCTAAGGCACAAGGCTCTAACAAACACATATCTGGTGGATGATGTCAAAAGATGAAGTCCTTAGAATTCTGTTACGTTGATTCATTGAGGCTACATCTGTCCTGCCAAACTCTGTATACACGTGATATCCTGCTCTACCTTAGCAGACCTGAAACTTGCCTGCACAATACCAGGTCCTGCAAAGCAGTACTGCTAGTGTCTCTGTACAGGTCATGGAGGCACCTCCAGACAGCAACAATCAGTGGTCAGACCATACTGACTGCTTGGCTGTGGCAGCTGAACTGTGTCAGATCTGAACACGCACTGAGACCTTCCCCACAGCACTTCCTGCCTGGCTGCAAAAGACCTCTAAGGACTTTTTTGACACAGACATAGTTAAACTAGAGTTTAAAGAATTCCTACCTTTAAGGCTTATCTTTTAAGACTGATGATACCTATCTGGCAGGTATTCTGCAGTTCCAGTAAACCTGAGGAAGTTTAGCAAGATTCAATCATGTTATTGTGAGTGTATTGAATTACAATGTCTGTTGTAAAGAATCAAACTGTTCCTCTCCCATGTCAGTAAGTGAAAACCCCTGTAAGGTTTTGAACAGTTTCAGCTAACATTCCAGACTTTGCAGAAGGATTGC